CAAGCTAGTTCCAGCTTATAATTTTCGGCAGCTTCAGTATCTGCCGAGGCCTGTTCTCCTTGAAACTTTATATTGTGCAATGAATACCTTTTTTTTAGTTTTTCAAACCATCCTTTACTCGCGACAAAAGAATGATTTTCTTGCCTTGCATAAGAATGCCCAATATTTCGTAAATGTTCGTAGATTTTAAGTGCTTTCTGCTTGATAAGATTTCCAGTGATAGGAATCTTTTTGGCCATACAGTCTTCCAACCAGATCATTAACGCCCGTTCCATTTTAACCATATTAGAATTTCGCGTGCGAGTAACACATTTCGCACCTAACGGACAGCCATCTGCCACTGTTTTCTTTATATTATCTGCATTTTTCTTTAAGGTTCGAATTGTAGATTCATTCAAATTTGTTGATTTCGCAACAGACGATATTTTGTTCCCCACCTTCTAAACGATTTAAAATTTGGATTTTATCTTCAAGCGATATAAACTTTCTTTTTAATCCTTTCCTTGTTTCTTTTGTGGTTGACATGATGCAAATCTAGGGTTAATTATTACTTCATTATTATTATATTAGAACAAATGAAGAATATTATTTACAGTATTGAGTAATGTTGTGTCCAATTATAAATCACAAATTAAGCAGTAAAAAGCTGAACAAACGCACGGTGCAGAAAAAATTTTAGAAAGACTTAGTCACCAACGAAACGTATGTACTGTGAAAGAGCTCTGAGACGACTGAAACCGATGTGGCAGACGGCTATGAGATAAGCTGGCATATTTATATAAACATATATCTAGTTACTAGTCATTGGTAGGCTGCGCGGAAGGAACTTATGGGATGTTGTTGAACGGAAACCGCGCTTTAAGAGTACCGCGTTATAGGAGGGTTGACTGTAATTATAAAATATCATTTTATGACTTAGACTCCGCGAAACTTTACGCGGAACTTTAAACGTTTCTTTCTCGAAACTATCTTTTTTAAAATGATACCCACGATTTCTTAAGTTCTGCTGAACCGATTAACTTGAAATTTGAGGTGGGTCTTTTCTATACACTTATCTATCATACTAACTATCCTCAGCCCCAAATTTGAATTTTTACTATTTTTAAAAAATTCGGAAAACTCAAATAAAGTAATACAAAAATTAATTTATTTTCGGGCAGCTGCCATTTTGTGAACCAAAATTATTTTTCAACTCTTTTTTAATTAGTACGATAGCATCATTATTTTAGATTAATAATCTCTTTTTTTTCAGATTGCTAGGATAGTTAGAATCGTGATGACAGTAGCACGCCATTGTTTTGAGACCCCCCACTTCATCGGCCGATAACTTTTTGAGTTTTTAATTTTTTCAATTTTTTTTATAGGCCAGTCAAAAAGGGGCAAATAAGAACTTTTCAAGCTATCAAGGCGAAAATTTGATATTAATGGTAATTCGACTACGCTGAATCGAATGGTGCTAATTTTTTTGCAATTGGATCACGAGATCTTTGAGAAAAAGAGTTAAAAGAACCGTATCTTAGAATCTTGGCATCATAATGAAAATATAAAAGATATAAATATAAAATATAAAGAGAGAAATATCGATTTCTTGTCTCACTCGCACTCGTATACAGAACGCTCAACAATCGAGGGCCCAAACAAAAATACTCGCTATCGCTTGAACAAATAGAAAGAGAGTAATATCCATTTGTTTTCTCACTCGCACTCGCATTAACGATCGAGTGACCCATGAAGAGTCGGTCCCCCCGACTTACACCTTTCACCTTCATTTTCTCGCTTATTTTTGCTAATACGAAGATACACCTTAGAACATTTTTTTATGTATTTTTCAATTGCGCACAACTTTTGTTTGAAACTTTTTTCGATTAAATGCCAAGATTCTAAGATATGGCTTTTTTACCCTTTTTTACCCTTTTTCTCAAAAATCTCCTGATCCAATTGCAAAAAAATTTGCACCATTCGATTTTTTTTCACTAGACTATTCTGTGATAATCTATCCTCAGGTATTTTTATCATTGGTCAACACGATCAGGAATTTTCCGTTGAAATAAATTCCTTTAGTTGTTCCGACAAATGTTCCAACATTATACGAATAAATAGTGACTCGAAGATAGTCAAAGAAGAAAAATAGCAGAAATGCAAATACGCTACGAGATACTTTTTATCGCACGCTCGAGAGCTCTCTTACCTTACTTATTACGCCAGAAAACCGTGAATAGCACGCAGTGTAATTCGGCCCGCAATCTCATTTAAAAAAATTAAATTAAAGATGCACTTTACCTTGATCTCAGGATTCCCCGACCTCAAGCATGTGATCGGAACCCTGATTATCCGTGTGGTCCTACCTTGTAGTCGCACGTAAGGTAGTTTCCCCAGAAGCACGCGAAGAAGCCGACAATACGAAAAATCTAACACGTGGCTATACTTCCTAATTCTAATTAAGTCGCGCCTTACACCGCTATACGACTTACACGTCTCTGTTACAATACCTTCGTATAGCACACCATAGCCATTAGAATTCGCATAAGAACTAACCAGATATACAAAAACACACGCTAATCATAAACTGAGAACAAAGCCAATATAACGTAACTGTATCTATGTACAACGATCTGTAAAGCTTGCTGTTTTGAACGAAAGTGCATACATTTTCATAGCACTAACGCCATCTCTACTGCAGTAATCCGACGCAAAGTACAAATTCCTTCTAATAGGTTAAATAATCCGAACAAAAAATGTTTCGTTGATTATAATACTTATATTGACAGATAAGAAACATACAATTTAATTAAAGCAATACATTCTTAAATTTCATTCAATATTCGGTTTATACGGTTTATTCTTATAACTATATATAGAGGGAGCTAGAGGAAGCGGAACAGGATTTTTGAAGTGAAAACTTCTGTAGAATCGTTGTGATTTATAACTCGACGAAATGAAAAAACGACACGGAAAAGAGAGCAAACATTTACATCTATCGGTTATACACGAGAATTAAATAAAGTCACACCAGACGTATCGCGAATTCTTAAAAAGATTACGATAAAATTCCAATGACTTTAAATAGGGATTTTACATTTATTTCATATTTTAGTTAACATATTATTATTACTTTATTATTTAATAAATAATTAAATACAAATAATAATCAATAAAATAATAAATAATTTATTTTGATTATTTTTGGTATAATATTTACAATATATCCATATAAGTAGCAAAAGTTCATTTTGCTTATCGTTAGCTATTTTCTCATTTAGTATATATGTTATTATACTGTCAAAGTCGGAAATCAGGCATTACTATGAATATGAAGAGCCTTCAGACGAAGTCGGAAATTGAAAAATTCTTCCAATTTTTCCTAGGCATTGAACATAATACTTTGATATATTCTATAGAATATGAAATTACTATTTAAACAACGTTGAAAATAATACATGCTCGAGCACAGGCCTGACGTAAATCGATCCCCCATCCCCACAAACACACCGCTAATTGCTCCCATACACATACACAAAAACGAGCATGGTGGAGGTTGTTGAGACTGTCGTGTCGCTATAATAGACTCTTTACATATTTCCTACTGTGAAAGGTTGTATTAGATTGTAGAAAATTTTAGACCCAGTTGCTAGGTAGCTCAAACGGTAGAATGGTCGACCGAATTACTGTTTAATCGAACCAAAAATCCTTGTTTTATAATTATCTCAAAACACCGTTTTTTTCTACATATATATTTTATTAGAAATTGGTGATGACGGATATTTCGAATTAATAATGAAAGTTAATGTTTGAATAAAATAGGAGAACACAAAATTTCGATAAGTGAACTTTTAAGAGTAGTTTTATACGAAAATAAATAGGTTGTTGTGCGACGAATTTAAGACATTAGAGCTGAATGGTATTGCGCGCTGAATATGTTAGGCTGCGTCGGCGTTAATAAGGTTGCGAGGGCGCGCTAGAGCATGCGATGTGCATGCGAGAGCGCCTTGATGTGAGTGGAGGGGTTAGAATGCGTTTAGCCTTGTGCCTCGCATGTGTCATGTGCACGTGGTCACTTAAAATTTGGCTAGATTAGAAAGAGATATAGGTTCCATGAGAAAGAGGTTCATTTTTCTTAACAAGAGAGTTGCGTCTACTTCAAAATTGAAAACAATATTCTAGACAAGTTGTAGAATTTAATAAGATAAAAAAGAAATTGATTTTTTGAAAGTCCCAAACCCATGTAACCCCTTAAAACGATAACCCACTATTGAGTCTACTTAAAACCGCATTTAACTGGCCATTAAGAATAAATCAAAAAATAAAAGAATCTTAGTGAATGAATATTTTAACAAATTAGTTAAAATTCGTGAAACCAGTCTCACATTATTATAAATAATAAATTATTGATATTACAAATATTTCGATGTATCATCAATCTCCGTTATAAAAATAATGTATTATTTATATTAACCAATTAACTGTGTCGATCATTTTGCAAAGTGCCCCAGTGTGTGTCGCGATAATCAAGCGATTACGTCAAACACAAAGTAAGTGACGCTGTTGAAATATTGGGTCAAAAACAAAACTTTATTTTAGAAAATGAATAAATTTATAAGTAATATTTAAACAATGGATCAACGTAAAGCTATATTTACACATAATTAACGAAAAACTTAAAAAAAAAAATCAAATATTTAACAAACAAACAAACAAAAATTTTTGTTTTTTTTTTTTTCTTTGGTTAGACATCCAGGACATCATCGCAAATGGAAAATCTAATATACTTTGTTTTTTTGGTTATGTTACGTCAAGATGAAAATCGGGATAATCAAAGATCTAGTGTCCAACTGAAATTATCTATAATTTTCATTTGTTTATTTTATTTCGTCCTGACCCCTAAACATTCTAAACATATTAATATTTATGAATATAATTTAGTTTTCGCGAGAATTACAATTTAAATATCAAATTGTATCAAAATTTTACGCATGACGGATATAGCCGTAAAAATACAAAATTCTGCCATTCTTCCATGACGGATATAGTCGTCAAACACACTTAACTGGTTAAAGATTTACCCAATCGAAATTCAATATTATTATAGAAGGTTCTACATAATATAATAATTATCGTTAAAATTAATCATAATATGTAATATAAAATAGCGAGATCGCATTTCCTACAGAGACTAAAGATCAACACAACGTTGTATTACCGTTATTTCCAAGTCAATCCCCACTTGTTCGTTGTAGTCCTGTCGATGATATCAAAAGTAAGCAGAGTATTTTACGATTCGGTGAAACGCAAGGAACTAATGAGTGTATCGCTCAAGAAATACACGTCAATAGTTCATTTATTTATCTTTTTTGTTTTTCTTCTTAAGTATAACCAACATTTATTCTCATATTAAAATAAAAACACATATACATAAACAGAAGTATGGATTGTAAAAAAGGATCTGTGTTGTCTCTTGAACAGGGACTAATTAAAGGTGTCATAGAAGAAAATATTAACAGTAAAGAAGAATATTTTGCTTATCGAGGAATACCTTACGCGAAACCGCCGATCGGTAAACTTAGATTTAAAGTAAGTTTAACTATACGTAATAATTATTTAAATATATTTAATTTATATATACGATTGAACAATTGTTACGGTGCCATGATAATAAATTTATTGCATCAAAATCGTTATCTTTTTTTTCAAAGAGGAATTAAGCAACTGTTTGAAAGATAAACCAATGTAATCGAAAGTAATGTATACTATTCCGAGGAATAACAGATATACGATTACTTTATTAATAAATATTAAATTAGTTACCCTAGATATAAACTGCTAAACTTAATGTAATTTAATTGTAAAGTAATAAACCCAGAAATAATTGAGAAATTTATTTTATTAAACTCGACAATTCATTGATCTTATACGCAAACCCAAATAAATTGATTATATTTGAAAATTGAAACAGTAATATTTTTAATAGAAAAAATAGTCAAAAAGTATTTGCATAGTCGAAAAAATGTTCACATTTATTAAATTTATTTTCTCTATAGATTTCACATCTTCTATATTCACGTTAGAGTGTACATTCAAATAAGAATTTCAAATATTGCATAATTTGAAATTCTTATAATATAAATTTTCAGCTAACGAGTAATTCTTTTTTCTACATTTTTTTTATATTTATTTGTATTTAGCGAATTAATATTACGTTACTAATCAATAAATATTAAAAGAAATGATTTATTAATAATTTTTCTATTTACTTTTGACATTAAACATGAGAATATATTATTTAATTATTTCTATCTGTATACGTGTTCGAAATATGAAGCTATGCTTCGTCTATTTCTAAATTTTCGAGTACAATAAATTACGAATCATTTAATTTATGTTTTCGACTATCTCAAATTCTTGCAACAACATTTCGATGCACGTTACGTAACGTGTGTACGTTTTTTAAACAGACAACAATTGAAAAATATACGATTTACGGATGATTCCTATGAACACGTTAAAGTAAATGATAGATGTATACATCCGGTAATCGCTTAGGTAACATTTTTTTGTTTATAATTCCACGTATATTTTGAAACGCGCAATTTTTCATCTGCTTTGCTACAATTATAAAGATCATTATGATGATAAAAAATAAAAGAAATAATAAAAGATGTGTTAGATTAGCCAATCTTTCTTTCAAAATATTCGCTTCATAATTCGTCCTTGTTTTTACACTCAAATTTTCTATTTTTTTCCTTTAGTTTTCTATAAAAAATAAAAGTAAATCTTTGATGATATAGGTTCATAGGGAACTTGGACATGAAAAGAAGTAGAACTTAATTTAATTTTAATAATTAATTTTAATGATTAATCATTTAAAATTATCATCAAAAATTATAATTTTGGACGAGAGAAAATACTGAATAAGTAAAAGTAAATATTAAATCATTATTTAATTATTTTACAATTGAAAAACTGAAAGATCACTTAATCAATGATTAGATTTTTTAATTGCAGACTTAATATTAAAACTGTTAGAGTGTATATTGGGTTTCTTACTAAATTTTGTATTGACCATGTAGGATTCGTTATCACCTGAAAAATGGATTGGAATAAGGGATGGTTCGAAGTTTGGTAACGTGTGTGCTCAAATAGACAGAGTGTCAAATGAAGTGATAGGAAGCGATGATTGTCTCTATTTAAACGTTTATACACCGCGGAATGAGTTGTCTGCGAAACTGGCAGTAATGGTATGGATCCATGGTGGTTGTTTCTATATGGGATCAGGAAACGATGATATGTACAAGCCAGATTATATCATTCGAAAGGACATAATCCTTGTCACGATCAATTACCGACTTGGTATTTTAGGTCAGTTAAAATATTTAAATAAATAACATAACAATTATTGTAGAATAATATTTAAGATTCAAATTGTTTTCAAAGTCCTTTGATTATCTAGAATTTCTAATTACAATTAAATACAAAAAGTTTGAGTTTCAAAGTAAATAAACAAATTAATAAACAATTTTCTATCCTACAATATAGTTAAATTGTTTTTTTTAAATCTTTAATGCATGTAACAATACCAGAATACTTTTATTGTAATATAACCCTTAATGGACGACGACTTTTTCGACCAGGTGAGGTAGCAGGACGAAGCGATTTTTGCGAATATGTTGAGTGACTTACACACACATAATATAATAAAATAATCTTACATATAAATTATCTCATAAAAACGTTATATTTCGATTGTTTATCTATATCTACATCTTTAAAATTTTATCTTTACAAAAATTATGTTCTGTACTTTCGCTCTGTGTGATATTTTATGAAGCATTGATCAAGATGCATTCGTGGCTTATCTGGACATATATCACAATAATATGAAATTTCATGTCTTCCATGTGGCTTGTTTCGGGTAGAACAAACTTTACAATCCTTCTTTGTTCCAGTTAAAATGACAAGAAGTTTTCCGTTTAGACGAATTTCGTCGAGGTCGATGTTGAAGCTCGATTTCGTAATTGTTAAAAATTTCCTCTCAATTTTGTTACTAAATTTTTTCAAAACTGTAAATATGGAAATGGCTGTTCGTTTCTTTGCCGTTTTATTACAAAATCTAACATATACACCGAGTGTCGCCTCTAACTCGCCACTCGTCCTGCCGCGCGATACACCGCGGCGACTGAGAGTCGCCTCTCGTCCGTTAAGGGATAAACGGGTCTCTTTAATTCTTCATAAAAAAGGTTGAAATGTTGTCATTTAGTAAGAAAATATAAAATTTAACAAAAATGTCTTTAGGATTCCTCAATTTGGAGGATGAAGTTGCATCGGGTAATCAAGGCCTGAAGGACATAGTAATGGCATTACGTTGGGTTAGAAATAATATCGCAGTATTTGGTGGAGATCCTGAGAACGTGACTATATTTGGTGGAAGTTCTGGTGCAGCAATGGTTCATTACCTAACGATGTCACCATTGGCGGATGGTAGGATTTACTCGACTTAATTATACTTTTTCTTGCCGCATTTTCGATATGTGGAATTAACAGCTATCCTAATTTATGCAAAAGCACGTGATAAGTATATTTTCCGAAATTCCTTTAAAATAAATCTTTTTCAAATCACAGAGATGTTTTGATTTTATGGGGCGTTTCCATTCTTGAATTATTTCAATTTTGTGCGCTAATATTTAAAAACCCGTGGGATTCATTTCAATGAAATGACTTCTAAATAAATGGACGAAAAAAAACAAGTACAAACAAAATTCTTGAGAAACGTGTTTGAAATTTGTCTTTTTTTTACTTTTTGTTAATTTTCGTACAGATGTTAAGGATTTCTTCGAATATCGTATACTTGAGATCCCGTTTTTATTCCTTCCTCTCTTCTCAATTTCTGTTTTTCTTTCTTTGCAGGATTATTTCACAAGGCTATAGCGCAAAGCGGCTTAGCTACCAACTTTTGGGCTTCAATACTCGTGGAACCCAGGAAATACGTTTATCAGTTATCCAATATGTTAGGTTTCAAGTCTTTCGATCCCAAAGCTATCGTTGATTTTCTTCAAGAAATTGACTTGGAAAAACTCATTAAATATCAATCTAAAATCATATCTTCCACGGTAGCTTATTTTTCATTATTTCAAAGTTGTTTTTCTTGATAAATCAATGATAACGATAAGTTTTATTTATTATTTCTTCTTCAGGGAAAAAATTCAGTCTTTTCGGCCTTTCTACCAGGACTGGACAACAAATCAAAAAATCCATTTTTAATACTACCATCGACGATATCTATGAAATTTGGCGTTAGAGTCCCCTTTATGTTTGGTTTTAATGATACGGAAGCATCTTTTTTTTTCGGCAATAGCAATTTAGCTAGTAAGTCTATGCAAAAATCGTTCATTCGAATTAATCTAATTCTTTAACGAGTATATCTTATTTAGGTAGGATCGTCAAAAGAATAGATAATTCAATCTGCGATTTCGAAGATTTTCTATCACCTACTTTTTTGAATAAACTGAAAGAAAAAACTCTAACTGTTAATGAATTCAAAAGCTTGTATTTCTGTAACAAATCGTTAAATGATGAGCCAACCAAAAATTTACTACACTTTTTAAACGATTATTATTTTTTACATCATATTTTCGAATTGGCAAAAATCTTGTCGATTGTTAACAAGTGTCCCTCATATTTGTATAAATTTTCTTACGACTCCGAGGAACGGTCTTTCATGAAAACTATTATGAATATCGACATACCAGGTATAAGGATCTAAAAACACTTTTATTATTGAATATACATTATTAATTAATTTTTAATTGTAAATATTGTTTTAAAATTATTAAATTATAATTTTTATATAAATTAAATTTATTTATATTTATATATAATGTTCAAATAATTTATTGCAATTACTTATTTTATCTATTTTTATAATAATACTAGGAGCCACTCATGGGGACGAACTGAATTATTTGTTCTATGGAACACATTACTACGCATTAGATTTGAAACCCCATCGTCCTGGTACATCTAGCTATAAAGTAATGGATTGTGTTACACAGTTATGGACTGATTTTGCTAAAACTGGGTTAGTATTCTCTAATATAACTGATCACTCAAACACGCACTCACACACATTGGCAAAATATTCTTAACCTTAACGATATTATTATGATTATTACAATCTTACTCCTCTCGTAGAAATCCAACATCAAAAACTACAGAGCTTATTCCGATTTTGTGGAAACCTTTGGAAAAAAATCCAGACATGTACAATTACCTTAATATAAATGAACAAGTACAAATGGAAAGTATTCCAAAAGGTGTACAACGATTCGAGTGGAATCCAGAGACGAAAAATAAATTATAATTTAAATAACAATAAATATTGTAAACAGGGAAATGTAATTTCATGGAATATCGAAAAGTTCAATTAGAATATTAGACTCCCAAATTGTGTAAAGAGTTGCGATAGTATTATAATATAGCTGGTAGTAGTACTATGTATTTATTTGAAGAATGCAACGACCATAAATCGAACACGAAATCATATACTTTATATAATCATTTATATAGATTATATAAAATTGATGAAGCGAGCTGAAAGAAAAACAAAGGTTTTGGACTTGTTTGAAAAGATAAGGAGAAACAAGATAAAGGCAAGGATATCGGTATCGGATTGATTAATTCATAAAGGACCGCCGACCTCGTACACTACATATCTACAAGTGCATTCTTCAAAAATACAAATGTTATTATAGGAATAAGGAAAGAGAGAGATTTTCCGTGGACATTTCTACGAATATCTGTCTATAATAAAATAAAAAATGTTGATCGTTAAGTTATTGACGTTCAGTTTTTGAAACTTTATTGTTTTTCCGGTTTCTTTACAATGACCTCATCATTCCTGCTTTTCTATTGTTTCAGTAATGTAAGCAATGTGTTATTGTTTAAAACAGTACCAATAGTCTACAGTGTCACTGTAACCTTTATGTTTAATTACCATTTCAATCATATTATATCATACCAATCAATACATATTATCTTTTTTACAGAGTCATACCGTTCGAAAATTGCGCCCCTCAGACTAGATAGCAGCACCTCTCGGCTACCATGATTAAGACGCCGACTGTTATCGTTGAGAAGAAGACATATCGATTGTTTTTATTGATCAAGGGATCACGCAACTTAACGTGTCAATAGGTCATTGGTCCCCTGTGACGTCATCCTCTGCGTGTTACTCTCC